AAGAGTGAATGCAACAAATGTTTTCTTAAGCTAAACGACTCCTAATAATTCATTCCCAGAATTTTAGTTCCAACAATAGTACTTTTAGTAAACTTTTATTAATTGCCATGGGGAAGCTTTAATTTTGAGTGATTCTTTTTGGCTGCTATCAGACCTATACTGAGACAGTTGGTCACAATTTTGCACTCAATGCAACGTTTGATGAAGTTGATGCTGCAAGCTATGATGGTTTGTTGTTGCCGGGTGGGAGGGCTCCAGAGTATCTTGCTCATATTCCTGGTGTTGTAGAGCTGGTGACCAAGTTTGTCAGTTTAGGAAAACAAATTGCTAGCATTTGTCATGGACAATTGATTCTGGCTGCTGCTGCTGGAGTGGTTAAAGGTCGCAAGTGCACAGCTTTTCCTGCTGTTAAACCAGTACTGGTTGCTGCTGGTGCGCATTGGGTTGAACCTGACACCATGGCAGCAACAGTGGTGGATGGTAATCTCATTACTGCAGCTACTTATGATGGGCACCCTGAACTTATTCGCCATTTTGTGAAGGCATTAGGAGGCACAATAAACGGCTCTGATAGAAGAATCCTCTTCATTTGTGGGGTATGTTCAAATGTTTCTCATGTTGCTTATGGGGATAATCATGGACTTACTACCCTGGCATGACTAGTTGTAGGAGTAGATTTTTCAGGCATAGAGCTGAGACCGTTTACTTTTGTTTGAGACCCCTAGCTACACATGGTGTAAGAGTATCATCTTACACTATTGTGTAATTCCACCTAAATTCTCCAGGCCATTTGCCTCAGTTATTGCACCTAGTGTACTCAGTAATCTCTTGTTTTTCATCTTTCTTTCTTTCACTCTAATTGCAAAGATGATTTATGTAGATGAGTTTTACCAACTTTTGCAGGATTACATGGAAGATTATGAGGTCAAGGTTCCTTTTCAGTCCCTTCAAGCTTTAGGATGCCATGTTGATGCAGTTTGCCCCTCAAAGAAGGCTGGTGACACTTGCCCAACTGCTATTCATGATTTTGAAGGAGATCAAACTTACAGTGAGAAGCCAGGACATCCATTTTCTTTAACAGCATCCTTTGATGACGTGGATCCTTCGAGCTATGACGCTCTTGTCATCCCTGGAGGTCGAGCACCTGAGTATTTGGCTTTGAATGAATCAGTCATTGCCTTGGTGAAGCATTTCTTTGAAACCAAGAAGCCAGTGGCTTCTATCTGTCATGGCCAACAGATTTTATCTGCAGCTGGTGTTCTCAAGGTATTATTACTTGTATAAAAAACACTCTCTTATGTTTCACTCACAAAGAAAATAGGATGGATTTTATATTTTGAAGTTGAGGCATTTTACTACTGTTTTTTTATGCTCTTAGTCATTCTATACTTGTTTCTATTTATCTTTCTAGTCTAGATTTGTCTTTCACCAACTTATGATTTTAATTATTTGTTCTAACAGTGTCAAAACAATTCTTTGAATTGTTGGGTTACAGAGGTGTAACTAGTAAGACCGAGTTAGTAAAAAGTTTTAACTTATGATCATCTATTGGATTACGTTCATCTCCTTAAATATAAGTCCCGCAGGCTTTCTCCGAGTTTTGTTATCACAGTTTTTGTCCCTGTCTTAATTCCGGAGTTGCTTGGTAGCAACATACATCATGCATGAATTGAGTATCACAGAATCTACTTTACAGACGTACAGATAATGAAATTCATGTAATCAGAGCTTCTGCGTGACTTCATCACCTGGTGTATTGTGTTCATGAAGTGCTAGCATTACTTTTGTTACTCAAATTATTCTTATCTTAGTTCTATCTCACTTAGGCAGTTCTCTAGCTTTTGTATACCTTTTTTTATTGCTTCCTTGGATAATTTGATTGTAATCCCAAGTTATGATGTTCTCTTTCTTTGTCGCTATCTTCCATCAAGGAGCAGAAGGAATGGCAATATATAGAATTAATCTTAGAGAAATTAAATACACGTGGAACCAGACAGATGTTAACCAAGACTCTCTGTAAATTGCTTCTTTTGTTTGATCTTTTCCAATTGACCACCTATTATGAATTGATTAAATCTTTGGTCGTGGGGGGCATCCTCATCTTCTAGAATTATAACTTATAATACTGTCAGTTTGATTAATTCTGCCGCCTCTTGAAATGCCTGATGAATTATTGAATTCTATTATTACTGCCTAGATGCTACGATTAGTCATGACATCTTGTATATTCAATGAGGTCTTGTTTGTTGCTTGTATTTTTCTTAATTTCTGACACAATTTATCGGTGAAAGTGGGTAGTAAAACACAGACTGATAATCATTGAATATTATGGATAAAGAATAGAGGGTATTTTTGTCATTCCTTTGTTTAATTTATCATCCATTGTCACAGAACTTCAGAAATCAGCACTACTATTTCTTGCCATTGCTTTTGTGATGAGTATATGCATTGAGTGATAGCATGAATTCTTAGTTCTATACTGACATACATTTTTACTGTTACAGGGGAGGAAATGCACTGCTTATCCGGCGGTGAAGCTTAATGTGGTTCTGTCAGGAGCAACATGGCTGGAGCCTGACCCTATAAGCCGTTGCTTCACTGATGGAAATCTGGTTACTGGGGCTGCATGGCCAGGGCACCCTGAGTTCATTTCTCAGTTGATCGCACTCCTTGGTATTCAAGTATCTTTCTAGCTGCACTTTGTGATGTAATTAATTATCAGTGAAAAAGGCTTGGCTGTTTCTATAAGCATTTTTTATCAAATGTTATAAATATGTGGATTCGTTTTACTGTACTGCATTTGAAGGACCTATAATGTGCAAGTGCATCATGCACTTGTTACTTTGAGCATCTGATGGTGGTTAGTGTGAGTTTCGGTTCCTCTATAATAAAACTATTGTGCAGTATTTAGACCAGCAAACATCATTGGTTCATAAAAGTAAATAATTATGCATTTTACTGCATCAAATTTGACATTTTGCAGCATTTGTTGTAGTAAAGTAAATTTCAAAATGGAGGATTACCTAAGCATACTCTAATCACTCTTGACATGAGCATACACTAATAATTAATCGTTACAGTATAATAGTTTTATCTTTAATTTAGTTTTGTTGTGATTTTTTAAAATTTTAAACTAAACTGATCGTTTATCTTTATGTTACAATAATATGAGCCAATAGTGATTTACTGGTCCAAAATCTTAAGTGTATATGATAGGCCCTGGTTAGTTTACAGAAGGAGGGAAAGAGTGTAATAACATAACTGTCTTAACAGTTATGAAGGGAGGCGGGAGGGAGGCGGGAACAGGTTGTATAAATAGCCTCTGTTAAACAGAGGAAGGGGTTGTTGAGAGTTTCTTTCATTCATCTTTTGGTTGTTCTGTGTGATTGTGAGTGAGTTTAGTTAGGTTCAATCCTTAGAAACCTAACAGTATATAATATTAAGGTTTAATGTCTCCATAAGTCCCTATTTATATCCAGAATTTCAAATAGGACCCTTTCTTTTTTGACATCTCAATTGTGTCTTTATTTTTGTAAAATTGAATCAAATAGGGACTTTCCGTCAAATTGTTCAAACGGCATTAAGGATTGTGTCACCTGACATGCTGACTTTTAACATACGTGTCATTAAAAACGTGACTCAATTCTATTATTTTAAATTTTGAATTAAAAAAATTAAGTAAACAGAATGAAAATTCAATTAAAGAAAGGGCAAAGTTGAAAATTGGTATTATACATTCTCACTGCAATTGCTATGTCGAAATGAAATTGGGAAAATTTGAGTCATAGGCCTCATCATTCATCCACAAAATTGTTGTTGTTGAAGTAGATGCAAGTGTTGGTGGGGAAGAACATCGTTTTGAAACAAGTTGAAGCACGACCACCTTGCTCATCTCGTCGTGGCCCACCACCGCTGTTCATCTACACTGTTAGTGCCGCGGCAGAGTCGCGAGCCTCCACAGCCACCACCATCAGAATCGCGACACACCCCTATCATCTTCTTTGTCAATCAAAGCACAAAATCGCAGAAACCTAAACAGAGAAAACAAATTCGCAAAATCATCATTGCGCGCCTCCACCATCATCATCCTCGTCGGAGCGAAAGTCGCCGCCACCAACGCCATGAACCCCAATCTGCGCAAAGCAGACAACCCAGTCGCACCACCCAAATCGCCAACCTCTATGACCACCGCGACACAGACAGAGTTCGTCCAATCTTACCTCGCGCTGCCATGGACACCGTCGCGAGAACCTTCAGACCATGTCCTTCCATCATCGCGAGTGCGCCGCGACATCTTTGTCTTCTCCACTATCGCATAACCAGTAGCGTGTTCCTCTCTGCCAGATCGCAAGATTCAATCTCCTCCATGCTCCAACTGCAAGCACTAAAACTATCGCTCCTCACCATCTCCGGACTAGCAAAGCCAAACCAGAAAAACCCAAAAACCCCCAAATCTGACCACAACAGAAACCCTCAAAAAGCATCCAGAGCACCACTGTGAATCTCTATCCACCTTCTCTAAGCCAGAATCCCAATCACAACCTGCAAGGGAAACCACCTTCAAGGTTCGTGCATTCCCAATTCAAAAGAACCAAAACGCAGCCATGGATATTTGGGACGCAGGAGCGAGAATGTGGAGGTAGAAGAAGAAGTAGAAAGTCTTTATTTTTCCAACTTTGCCCTTTCAAAAAGCTTATTACACCATCATGCATTCATAACTTTTAATACAAAATTAATTTATAATGCCACGTCTCATTAACTTGAAGTTTGACCATGTCATGTAATCAACACTTAAACCGTCGTTTGCTTAATTTAAGGCAGACCTTTAATTGCTCAAATTTTACAAAAATAAGGACCCAATTGAAACGCCAAAAAAGAAAGAGTCCTATTTCAAATTCTGGATAAAAATAAGGACTTATGAAAACATTAAACCTAATATTAATTAGTATATCATTCACATGTTATAATTTCATTGGTCAAGACTACGTATGATATGATGGTTTCAGACCGTTCAATAATTTATCCACAAATTTACATAAGCATTCTTAGTTCTTATACAACAGCACGACAACAGTTCCTAATTAACATCAAATTTTTTACCTTGACCTATTGATAAACAACTGGAATGAAATCAATCTTTGTCTACTTTATTATTGGTTCAGTTCGTTAAGATCATTTAATGCATTGGCCCCATAGTCATCGTGCTGATAGAACAGAAATGGAGGCAGTGGCATTAGATGAAGAGCCGCTGGTTGAGCTAGACTTGCTTTCCCGAATCTTCATATTCGTTTCAACAAACACAGGCATAGTTGGTCGCAGGTTCTCCACTAAACTCTTGCTTTTGAGTAGCACTACTACTTCAGACATTGTTGGTCTCGTTGCAGCCGACGCCTGAGTGCATAACAATGCAATTTCTATGATTTTCTTGACATCTTCTGCATCATAATTATTAGGGTCTATGGCCTTGTCCACCAGCTCTAGGTGCATTCCTCTCTCATACAGCTTCCATGTCTGTTAATGAAAGTCAAATGTCTCATTCAAATGCTAAAATGTCTTGACAAAACCAACAGTTCCTAGTTCTACTTATAGCAACTTGCTTACTCGTTGGAGTAGGTATTCACGACCATCGTCGTCATCCTTCACATCGGTACTCTTTTGACCACTAACGATTTCTAGGACTACAATTCCATAGCTGTAGGTGTCAGCCTTCTCTGATAATTGACCATGGATTGCATACTCAGGTGCTGTGTATCCCCTGACAAGTGTATCATATATAGTCCATAGTTATTAAAACATGACTCATATCTTGTTAGATTTTCCACATCAGATTTTAATAGTCCTTTTTGCTACGACTTGATGTTGTAAAAGTTGAAGGAAATGCAATTGTTTATACTTACAATGTTCCAGCAAATCTTGTGCTAAGATGGGAACGATCCTCTGGCAGAAGCCTTGCCAATCCAAAATCAGCAATTTTGGGTTGAAGATCATCATCCAAGAGGATATTAGAAGTTTTAATATCTCTATGTATGATGGACACGTGGAATTCCTCATGCAGATATGCTAGTCCCCTTGCTGTGCCTAAAATTATATCATAACGTTGTTTCCAACTGAGGGAACCTTTTTTGTTACCTGTTTGTTTCACAAGTAAGATTGTTGGAAAGAGAGGAAAAATTGATGAGTATGTAAATGAAAAAAAAATGGAATTTCTATCAGTGTTTGACATGAGTTATGTACCGAATAAGAATTTGTCAAGACTGCTATTTGCCATATACTCATAAACCAAGATTCTCTCTTGGCCTTTGCTGCAGCAACCAAGAAGTCTAACAAGATTCCGATGATGAACATTACTTATAAGCTTCACTTCACCCTCAAAATCATCCTCCATCTTACTTGATTTCCCCAACACTAGTTTTTTTACGGCAACAACTTTTCCATTCTTCAGAGTACCCTGTTAAAAGTAGTTTGTGTGACTGAAAAGGGAAAATCTTTTCCTCTTTTTGTTTTAAATATTTTTCAGCCAGGAAAAAACAGGTTTCTTTTGTATTTTGTTCTTCAAAATAAAAATGATATAATTGACAATAAAAAAAAAACCTAATGATCATCTTCTCTGAACATGTTTTTTCATAACAGTATTGGAAAATACAGCATAAATTTACCTTGTATACATCACCAAAACCTCCTTCTCCAAGTTTGTTTTCAGCACTGAATTTCTTCGTTGCAGCTTTCAAATCATTATACTTGTAGTTAACTGGACCTTTCAACTCAGTTGCTCCCAATATATCACCTGCTACGGAACAACCATGTTTTTTATTTTACAATATATATTCAAAACCAATTATGACAGAATTAGGAAACAGAATAAGGAAATACAACTACGGATACATTGGATAAGAAAGAAAACAGATGTTTATGAACAAATAAGTATTTTCTTTTGTATCAATCCATTCTTTTTCTACCAGTTAATAAGCACTAAAAATGCAAACCAGGAACTAATTAATCTCAAGCATTACATTGAAGACTTCTCCACATTTACTCACCTCTGGGAACCCTCTTTGGTTTTATAAACCATCGCCATGCAAACAACACACAGAGGAGAGCAACAACAGTTCCAACACTGGCAGCAATTATAATCCACTTCCTGCTTGAATCTCCTGTAATACAGTACAAATTTATATCAGTTCCGAAATTGTATTCTGGTAGTCACACAAAAATCAAATATGTTTATTAGGAACTTTATTTTTATTTCCAAATTTCATATTGAAAATTATTAAAACAATTATATGCAGTCTGTGTGGATGTATACTACCTAATATAATGAAGATTAAGATATTTTAAACAGATACATTATGAAAATGAAAACTAAAGACTATAAAACCAAAATCTGCATTATTTACAGTGAATAAAATTAAATTTAAACTATAAAAAGGGTTTTAATAAACCATATAACCCAACCATTTTGATCGAAGTATACATAAAAAAGTTGTACAACTCTACCTTTTTTCAAATAGGGTGCAATATCAATGGTTTGATTATCAGCAAAGAAAGGTGTGGTGGAGTATCTCATGAAACAGCCAGCATCATAAGCTCTACCCTCTGTGTTGGGAAGACAACTTTGTAAGTTGTTGTATCCAGCTTGCATGCAACTCAGACATTTATCCTCGGTTGCAGTTTCAACACACTGTGCAACAGCATAAATTGCAGTTCCATTAGCCACCTGTGTCTTAGTTGCTGCATAAAAATCTCTAGTTTTGGGTGTTGCTGTTTGGATATCTGCGATGACTTGTTGTCCGACTAATCCAAAACCAGCGGCATTTGAAGTGTTATTCCCACATAATACACCCTTGCCAAGTTCATCGGTCTGGTCGAAGAACATCTCGCTCTCATACCTCATCACATTTTCATAATATCCAACGTTAAAATTAATGCTCAAATCCTCAACATGGCTCACACTAATGTTTTAAACTAAACACTTTCACAATCAATTTTTATGCACACCTAAATTTTGTACGCATTATAATTCTCTACTTTTTACCTTTCTTTTAAAATACAAAAAATTTACTCTTTTTATAACCATTTTATCCTTACATCATGTGTCATAGTACATTACTTTTTATATATATACTTTCGTCTATATAATTACAAACTCTTATTCACTACATAAAGATGTTAACTTATCATATTTTAAAAGAAACTATATCAATGATAATTTTCCACTTATGGATGCATTAATATTTTTTTTATATTTACTATTGGTACAAATCTATATATTGACAAATACATATATATGGAAGCTGAATTATGAGAAAAAATATTTTGTATTTTTCTCAAATAATTTTTATTATAAGTTTGACTATTGTATTGCCTGATCCAAAATAGTTAGAGAATTAGTATCATAACACACTTTTACATTCATTTGACATAGGATACAGAAATAAAATGGTCTAAAAAGTATAAAGTTTTGTAATGTTTCAAGAAAGAAGAGAATAAAAAGTAAATAAAAATAATATTAAATGAATGTAAAATATTTAGATGTATTAAAAAATTATTTTCCGAATAGTTAATGCTAGACTACTATGTATTGTCTTAATACGAGTTGGATGGAAAAAAATTGTTGGAATTGATAAAACTAATTTATGTGATGAATTGTCAATTATTGTCTCTCTACATATATGAATTTAGTTTATTTATTTGATATAATAAGTGTTAAGTTCAAATTAAAATATTTCCCTTCACTTTATTTCTTGCTTGCTGTATTTTGTATCTTCCTTTTTATTAATTTGAATAAGTAACGTAGATTTCTTTATTCTATATTATTCAAATTTTATATGTCACAAAGTGTTGATGTAAAAATTTAAGTATATTGTTAACCAATTAACCAAGCTATTAACAATGTTAAATATATTTTTCAGTTATCAAATTATTTTTAAAAATTATATTTCGTTTTTAGACTATATATATATATATATATATATATATATACACACACTATAAGACGAAACAAATATACATTTATTTTAAATAAAAGACAAATTTTTTCAATATAATTTAGAGACAAAATATGTATCATAAAAGCTAGCCACTTTTTTCTATAATAGTTTATGATAGCACAATAATATAAAATTTTATAGTACAAATGCATTAAAATTAAAACTGAATTCCATCATTGTTATATTTGTTCAACCTTTTTTTATCATACTATATGTTTTTTCTTCATCAAATTATTATGTTGTTTCACATTTTTCTCTATCTCCGTTGTTATATACATTTACCTCTCTCTATAATTCATATCTTTCTTACCAAGAAAGTGCTTGAAATTGAGATGTATATAAATTATATATATATATATATATATATATATATATATATATATATAAGTATATATCATATTAACAATTATATCAATCTAAAATATTTCAATATCTCTTTATACACATCAAACTTATAAAAATATATACTTGGAAAATAGTAATAGTTATATTTTCATTTTATTGTTTAATTTTTACCAAGTTTAATACAAAAAATAAAAATAATAGACAGTTTTAATTTAATAGTTGATCAAATTGTGTTTTATTCAAAATTATTTGTAACGTATAGCTCGCTTAGTGTCGAAAAGATATGAGAGAGAAGTTTTAAATGCATATATTGGTAATAACTTAGAGTGTTTATGTTTTTTGAAAGTGTGGATGATTTATATATGTACCGACCTGAGGAAGCAACCGTCGTAGATGACTCTGGCGCCGTTGGCTTGGGAGCAGTTGCGGATTTGGGTTGAGGCGTTGTTGAAGCAAGAAAGACAATCATTTTTGGAGAGATAGTTTCTGCATTGAAACATAGCATAGGTGAGAACATCTTCTCTGGCTTCTTGTGTTGTGCCAAAGTGCTTGCTGTTATTGCTAATATCTCTTCTGAGCTCTGAAAATGTTGCGTTGATATTCGCATAGAAACTCTGCACGTTCGTAGCGTTGTATGTGCTGCATCCAGTGTTTACCAGATATGTCTGTGGATCACCCTTTGCACCGTGTTCTGCAATATTACTGCTCCACAACATCATAGTTAAGACAATTAACTTTACTTCAAACATCATCTTTTTCTGCCTGCTTTCTCAGAGAATCAACAACAATGCTCTTCACTGTTATATCTATAGAACCCTAGAGTACGTCCAAGAGATTGAGGACAATATGTTTTTGTTATATTATATATAGTCAAAATGACAAAAATACACCATAAATATCGCAAAGGAAATAATAACATATAATTGGTAAATTAACTTATTATTATCAGTTTTATTTATGTGAAACCCCAGATCAGTATTCTTTTATTTGTAGAACTTGTTTTGGTATTATAATTGATATCAAACTAGAGTTTTGAGCTAACAGCTGAATTAAATTGGAAGGAGTTTACTATATTTTATTAACACCTGACCATTTTTCTTCGTTGGTAAATCATAATTTTTTTATAAAAAATTGTTATAAAAGTTCCTCTCAGTTTATGTTAATTCATTGAAAGTTAAGAGTAGTTATTAATTTAGAGTTTTTTTTATGATTTAGAAAAATATATATTTCTGTTAAAAGGTTTATTTATTTATTTATTTATATATAAATGTGAGTATGGGAGGCTTGGAATTTTACACATGTTAGGAAAATAATTCACATATTAAGTAAAACCTAGAATTATAGGAGCTACGTGTTGACTACGGCCGGTTTCTAGAGTCCATGCTCATTTATTGGTCTTCAAATGTCATCATCCTATACCATCCAAATACACTAAATTCTTTTACAATGTGGACTAGTATACACTTCATCCTTTATAATTATAAATTACTATATTATTATATTTTAATATTTATATGCTAATAAATTTGTTTAGCAGTACTATCATTGTATCGTATTAAGTGTATGAATTCATAACTAAATGTATTTAAGTTTTGTTGAAAGAAAAAGAGAGACGTGTAGAAACTATTTAGTTCTATCTCCAATATTAATATTTAAGACAGGACCTTTTCTATTTTTCATATTACGACAAGGCTTTACAGCGTAACTTGCTTGACAAATTGAAATAAAATTAGTCACTTAAAAAAAGTTATTTAATGACATACGTTAGTAGTTTGAAATAGTCTTTTTTTTTTGTTAGACTATATGTGCATCATGTTTATGAAATCCACCATAGTTTGAAAAATATTAGATGGAAGGCATTTGTTAAAAATAAAATTTTAACTCTAACCTAATTCCACAAAACTCATGACTTGTAAGTTAAGATTTGCACCTGTATATATACTTTAAATTTGTCTTATCTTTAATCGAAGTGGAGGTATATACATTTTATGTATAATACTAGACATTAATAGATCATTCGATAACGATCCGATAAGAGGTGGAATGATATATGTTGAACAAACACAAATCTCCCTAGATTGGACTCTAATCCACATGACTCTTATACCATATTAAGAAATAGACTTTAAGTCTAACTCAACTCCCAAAATCAGATTGTAAGGTAAGGTTTGCACCTATATATATACTTTAAATTTTTTTTTATCTCTAGTCGATGTGAAGATATATATATCTCGTGCATGATATTATACATTAATGGATCGGCTGATAGGAGGTGAAGTGATATATCGAACAAACATAAATCTCACTAGGTTAAATTCTAATCCATGACTCTTGTATCATATTAAGAAATAAATTTTAATCATAACTCAACCTCATAAAATCGGTTTGTAAAATAAAGTTTGTCTCAAAATATATAATTTAAACTAACCTTATCTCTAGTTGATTTCGGACTTTGAAGAATAAACACCATTGTTGTACATTGCAATAATATCCATTAATAATTTGTGCTATTATAATAATGATCGGATAGCTTGAAAAACAATAAAGATTTATAAAGATGACTTTGAACAAGTTCATCGTCCAATTTAATGTTTTTTTTTAAAAAAATTGGATTGTTTAGAAATACCTGTCATCTAAGGACGACACGTAATTTTGCTATAAATTTATATGGTGAGTGACCCGAATTTACAACTTGCTTAAAAAACATGGTCGTGATGAGTTTTATTAATCAAATATATGTATTAAATTCTTTACGGTCAACTAACTAAATTAGATATTTAATATTTTTCTATTATTCAATAACCTGAAACTTAATTATAAGCACATGATGCAGAATCATCGGATTTGTCATCTTTATATATATGAAGATATGTGTTGAATAGTCTTAGCCATCTTTCTATTTAAGAGCACGTCAATGTCATCGATTTTCTATAGACCTTTTCGGTAAAACATCAAGAAAATATCGATCCCTATCATGAACATTGTAAGAAAAAATGTTTAAATAACTAATTAATGAAAGAACTCATTCCCCAAGTAAATAAATACATTGATCAATTAAATACAAAATGCCGTAAGATTACAACTTGACATTGTATATAAGAGATAAATTACGTAAGGAATGACTTTTTTAGGGTTTAGATAAATTGGTTAAGGTTGATATTTTATTTTTTGCATATATTAATTGACTTAATTGTGCTTTTAATAATTTTTTGAAATATAAGGTTAACCCGATATTCAGTTTTCTAGATTTTATGAATATATTATGCCACTTTTTTTTTGGAAATATACAATTTAGATGTTTCAAATAAATTATTTGGGGACTAAAAAACGTTTATGAAAAAAATAATTTTCCATTCAAAGCCTAATCACTACATATAAAAAAAAAACATTTTTTTTGTTGGCAATTTATTATTTGTCTTGTGTTAATAAACCACTAGAAATAGGAGTTTTATAATTCAATGAATTTAATTTACTTTACTTTAATATTTTTTATTGTATTTTTTTATATTGATAATAGGTTATCATTTGGATGCTTAAATGAAGGTTACAATTCTAAGGGATGGATGGAAAATATATATGAATGCTTATTGTGCAGAATTTAGAATTGGATATGATATTGGACTATGTGAAACTGGTAGAATGATTGGGCTATGCAGAAGTTCATGCATTTGTAAACCTTACATACAACTTGGGATGTGAAACTGCACCCACACTTAGAAAATATGCAGAAGGACAGATTCAGAAGACGTAGAATGGTGAACAATCTGTATCACTTTATTGGTTAAGGTCATGACGACCCTTTGATGCATTGATTGATACTTAATCATCGAGCTGAGGGAACAGAAATGGAGGCAGTAGCATTAGATGAACTGGTAGAGTTGCCTTCCCGAGGGATCATATTTGTTTCAACAAACACAGGCATAGTTGGTCGAAGGTGCGCCAATAAGTTCTTGCTTTTCAGTAGCATTACCACTTCAGTCATTGTAGGCCTCGTTGAAGCTGAAGCCTGAGTGCATAACAAAGCAATTTCTATGATTTTTTGCACTTCTTCTACGTCATATTCATTAGGGTCTATTGCCTTGTCTATCAGGTCCAAGTACATGCCTCTTTCATGCAGTTTCCATGCCTGTTATGTCAAAACCAAACCTTATAATTCATAATCACTTGCTCAAATGACATGAAAAAATGTTGAATGTAGGAACTTGCTTACTCGTCGAAGAAGGTATTCACCATCCTCATCATTCTTCACATCTGTACTCTTTTGGCCACTTACTATTTCTAGGACTACAATACCATAGCTGTAGGTATCAGCCTTCTCTGATAATTGACCATGCATTGCATACTCAGGTGCTGTGTATCCCCTGACAAGTGCAGTCCATAAAATATAAGAACACTCTCTTCTGCTACGACTTCATGCAAGTAAATGTAAAGTGAAAGCAATGGTTTTTACTTACAAAGTTCCAGCAAATTTTGTGCTAAGATGAGAACGATCCTCTGGGAGAAGCCTTGCCAACCCAAAATCAGCAATTTTGGGCTGAAAAACATCATCTAGAAGGATGTTAGCAGTCTTGATATCTCTATGTATGATGGAGACGTGGAACTCTTCATGCAGATATGCCAGTCCTCTTGCTGTGCCTAATATTATATCATAGCGTTGTTTCCAATTGAGGGAACCCTTTTTGTTACCTGCTATTGTTTCAAAAGTAAGAAAGATTGTTGAAAAGATAGGAAAATTTGATGGTTATAAAATAAATGGAATAATCTGAGTGGTTGAGATGAGTTTTGCACCGAATAAGAATTTGTCAAGACTTTTATTTGCCATGTATTCATAAACTAAGATTCTTTCTTGGCTTTTGCTGCAGCAACCAAGAAGCCTAACGAGATTTCTGTGATGAACATTGCTTATAAGCTTCACTTCACCTTCAAAATTATCCTCCATGTTGCTTGATTTCCCCAAAACTAGCTTTTTTACGGCAACGACTTTTCCATTTTTCAGAGTACCCTGTTGAAAATAGTTTGTATGACTGAAAAGGGAAAGTGTTTTCTCTTCTGGTTTTAGATAGTTCTCAGCTATAGCATATTTTTCTTTTCGTAAACAAAGTTTTCATGAGAATGTTGAAAAATACAGCATAAATTTACCTTGTATACATCACCAAAACCTCCTTCTCCAAGTTTGTTTTCAGCACTGAAATTTTTGGTTGCTGCTTTCAAATCATTATACTTGTAGTTAACTGGACCTTTCAACTCAGTCGCTCCCAATATGTCACCTGCAAAATAGAGAAAATTTTAATTGTGGAGTTATATTTTGGATGAACAAAAACTTTTTCTCATTACAATGTTCTGAGCTTTAGTGCCAAACATTCATTGAATATAATGCTTTCATCATTTGCTTAATTACCTCTGGGAATCTGGTTTCTTTTTCTTGACATTCTCCAGCCAAACAACAAAAGAAGAAGAACAACACCTCCTGTAGCACCGCCTATAATTCCCCACTTCTTTCTTGAATTTCCTGCAATGCAATTATGAAATTCACCTCATGTTCCAACTCAGGTCTGTGGAGGTTTGCATACAAAAATTAAAGACATATTTTTCGTTTGATTCTTTTTTTCTTAAATTATTATAAAAAATAAAAAATAAAAAAATGATATGAAATCTTTAGAATATAAATGAAAAATATATAATTGATATTTTTATATATAGTTATTTACAATTTCCTTCATATGTGGTAAATTAATTTTGATCTTGCAATTTTGTTTTTCCTAGCTTAG